TAATAATAATAATAATGATAAGTAGAATAATAATTAGTAATAATAATAAGAGACATTTTTCCAATCTTCCCAGCATTCCTTCTTTTTAAGAACAAGAAAGAACCAAACTCTCCATCCTTCCCACAAATTCATTGAAAAAAATGAAAGAGAATAAATAAATAAAAATGACGTGCCTAATCAAATTTTAACAAACCAATCATCTTTTATGGGCTGTCTATTCAAAAGGCCTAAATTTATGGAAAATGATTTAACTTTCCCCTCATTTCTTTCTTCAACAACACTTGCTCTTAGCTTCTCACTTAATTTTTTTTTTTTGTTTTTGTTTTAAGCATTCATGTCCCTGGGCTTCCATGATGAATTGTTCCAAAAATTGCCTTCCACCATTTTACGGAGATGGAACTAGAGAGGGGTTAGTGTCTGAGAATTGTCTTGCAGGGGTGAAAGATGGTAGGAGAGAATATTTGAATGAATGGGGATACAATGACTTGAAAATAAAAAAAAAAAAAAATAATAAATTTAAAAAACATTAAAAAAATAAATATCAAACAAAAAGTGTAAAAAGTAAACCAGATTCGGACCATTACACAGTGAACTCTACGAGAATGAGTTCAATGCATCAAGTTAATTTTAGTGCTTTAACTTATTTCCAAAGTGGAGAGTGTGGTGTGCCATTAATGGGGGTGGCATTGGATTGGTGGTAGGTGATGTCTGCTGAAGAGGAAAATTGAATGAGGAAAATAAATAAAGGAAGTGTTCAAAATTCGTTATTGAAATGAATCTTTAGTTTACAATGCAAGCAAGATAAATTGTTATAATATTTACAATATATAGATAAGAATAATGAAAATGATGGACAAATACTAATGGCAAAAAGATAATACATTGTCTTACTTTATTAGCTACTTTATCTATAGATAAAATACTTATTAGAGTCTATATATTTATTTTCATGAATAATGGCAACATTTATCTGCACAAGTTAGGATGAAAGTCAGCTTGTTTTGTACAAGTATAAACAAACGTTTATCATTTGTATGAAATGGCTTGAATTTTGAAGTCATAAATTAATAGCCATCTTGTAAATTTTAAGCTTTAAATTGGTCAGGAGTTTGATTTAATGGATAAAGAGAAATGTTTAATAATTTCTGATCTTGTCAAAAGGTAAAACAACATTGGGAATTGCAAAAATGATCAGAATGTACCGTCAAATTGTAGAGAATGTTTCAGCCAAGTACACTCTGGCCATCTTCAGGTGTTCATTATTTTTAACTGATATGAGATATTTGTTGATAATTGTTATTTTGTCCTTGTGTTGCTGCTTTTTGTGTCAACCATATACTGATTCTTTCACTATCCAAATATCAGCTTTTCGTGTCATTAAACAATGCTTATATCTACTATGCCACCATCCTGAAAGACATAATGGTGTATTTTTGGAGCCTTTAAACAGATGGTGTTATTAAATGAGCAGTTGAACTATGTACATTGATTAAGCAGGAAGTAAAAAAGAACTGACATCACAAGAACAAAATCCCATATCAGCTAAAAATAATTGTCACCTGAAGATAACCAGAGAAATTCACTGAAGATCTTTGCTAATGCATATTTAATAAAAAGCAAATTGAAGATTTTATCACTTTGATCTCTGTCCCTTTTTTTTTTCTTAAATCAATTCACCCCAAGTGAGGCGATGATGATACTAAGGGATTATTGGGAATGAAAGAGAATGAAGAAACATTTAAAGGAACCAGAAACCTAATCCTAAACAGAAACCAAGAGATAAACGTCTACTCCTGTTCAAAAGACCAGGGAGGAGTGTGAACCTGAGCAAACATATCTACTCCTATTGAGAAAAAAAAATAGTAAATAAAACTTCAGATGAAGTAGACTTAAGGAATCGGAAAACCAAATATAAACAGGAAACAAGGGATAAACCCCTACTCCAGTTCAAAATACATGAGAAATGCTAACCTCTTAGTCAAACTATGAAAATTTTGAGTGTTATGGCAACAAGGAAAGACATAAAGAGACATAAGAAATAAGATCCTAAAAGTGAAAACAAAACATGAGACCTGCCACTCAATATCATCTTAAAGACATCCATAAAGAAAAGCCAAATGTAACAGATAAAAGAAAGTATGAAAACCAACATTTCAACTGTTCTTTTCACTAATGAATTCTATGTTACTCTCAGTTGGCTAGATGAATAGAGTAAAGGAAGGCTGGCAGAAACTATCCTCAAATGTTGAGATGACTAGAAGTTGGAGATTGTGTGTTATTTTAGGTAAGGAAGTTGTGAGCTCATTGAGTTCCATTTGGTGTTATGATGACAGTTCAAACATCCATCAATTTTTTTTCTGAAGGCAGATGCAGATCTGTGGTTCAAGAAGAAGCTAAATACTTTCAGAAAGACATTTTTCATGTATAACAGTGCTCCATCACATCAGTGAAGTAAATTATTGAATATCTGAATAAAATGGCTTTCAAAGACACTTGTTTGATGAAGTGACAGGCTTGTTTGCTCATTGTTAACACAGTGATGGTGTCTTTATAACTTTGTCATTTTTACATTTTCAGTTTTTTTATTCAGTGTGTTTTTCTTTGTAAATATAGAGCACATTATATAATTTTTATTTTTAATTGCCACAATGTCTTTTGGAGTTTCAGTCACAGTGTGAAAGGATATGCAATGTAGTTGGTGTCTCGTTTACAGTCACTTTCTCACAGACGCGCCGTCGCCTCCCTCTGTCTATTCTACAAATACTTTCATGGAAATTGTTCCGAGGAGCTGCATTCGCTGGTTCCCAGACATTATGAGTTCCAGCACCTTACGAGGCTGGCATCCCTCTCTCACCCCTTCACTGTTGAAACTCCTAAATGTAGCCATCTCTTCTACTCTAATAGCTTCATGTCTCGCACCTCTCGCCTGTGGAACTCCCTTCCCTATTCCAGTTTCCCTGTGAGCTATAATCTCCAGCTATTCAAGTGTAATGTCAATCGACATCTCCAGTTGCCTTGATCTATCCACTACCCTCATCCTTTCTTCTATCACTCCTATCTGATCTTGGTCTAAACTTTCTGTAACCCCTTGCGTTCTAGTGGCTTCCCGCTTTGCTTGGGGTGAAATGCTTAAAAAAAAAAAAAAAAAACTTAAATAACTCCAATGTTTGCATTAGTTTTCTTTTTTAAAAAAAATCAGGAAAAATTAATAGTGGCTGATGATATGCATATCAAGATAGCCAAAGAATCATTCCAAAAGCTAAGCAGAGTATGAAAAAAAATAGGGAAATTTTTCTAGAACCAAGTACTAAGCTGCTATGTGATATCTGTCCTCCTGAGACTTGAAGCAATAGAAATATAGTTCTACAGAAGGATGCTGAGGATACTATGGACTGAACATGTGAGCAACAACAAATTTTTGGAGAAATGGAAAAACAAACTAATACTTAACATCAGGAAGAAGTAGTTGAGGTTTCTGGGGCACATAATGAGGAAGGAGGGCTTAGAAAATCTGATACACACATGGAACATATAGAGAACAAGATGGACAGAGGAAAACAATGCATTACATACTTAATGAGCTTTAATAAATGGATGGCAGAACAGGGCTTAAGAGAAATAACAGAACAACAAAGTTTATTATTAAAAGCTACAAAGGACAGGAAGTTGTGAAGAGCCATGATCAACTTCATCCTGAAGGGACACAACACAAAGAATGATATGAGATACAGTATAAAATCAGTTAATACAGTAATGGTAACAAGTGTACTCTATTTTAAGATGAGCATTTTTTTTAATGAGGTAGCAGTTGCCAAAAACTAATAAAAAATGCAGTTAGAAATGAAGATTCAATAGATTATTATTTCTAATGCTTACACTATTTACATTATTGCCTTCATCTTTGTTGCTATATTCACAATATTTCAGCTGATGTACCCTTCTGCCTTCTCCAGTTAATTGGAATCTCAAACTGAACCCTTTATTTGAATGGTATATTGTTCTCATTCCACATGCCATGCCTCTTCCAGATGTTTAAGTATCAGTTATCTGCCTTTTAACACAAATCTCCAAGTTTTTTTTTCCACCTGTGCTGTAGCCAGGTATTGAACTCATGGACACATGGCCCTGTGGATAAAAAGCATTGGTTAAATCCAGTGACTTGACCCAAAGAGTTGTGAATTCAATACTTAGCTAAAGCAGAGGTGAAAAAAAAAAATTGGGGAAATGAGTTAAAGGTAGATAACTGATAATGATACATCTGGAAGAGGCATGGCATGTGGAACTAGAACAAACTACTCCAGTAGACAAAATAAAGGGTCAATTCAAAATTCCAATCATCTGAAGAAGGTCAGAGAATACAATGGCTGAAACATCATGAATATGGGAATGAAGATGAGTGTCCGAACAATGTAAATAATTACAACACCTCATCTCAGAAATATAGACAGATATTTCTAATGCATTTACTTTTATGGTTGTAACAGCTGAATAAAAAAAAACTAGGTATTCCCTTTCAATACCTTAAAAAACAAGTATTGTTCATTACCATTCAAACCTGACATTTTTGCCAGTCACAACGAACACTTTCAATAAGTCTTCATGCTTTGAACATCTATTGGCTGAAATGTTGTGGCAATAATAATCAAAAGAATAGTTCAAATAAATTAAAGTATATTTACCTAATCCTCATCATGTAAAAATGAATTGGTTGGTTGGTTGATTTTGTTTAGCAGCATATCAACACCTCTATGGGTTAATTAATGCCAAAATCTACATATTTTTTTTATGTAATTATATTATTTTTTTTAGAGTTAATAATGGTTTTAGCAATACAAGTTTTACCAATTAACCCACAACTGGGGGAGGAGAAGTGGCCAATTCATACCTTTCCCAAAAGTATTTCCACATAAGTGGATATAATGAACCCAAGTGGAATCTGAACTCAGCTCAGCAATTAACAATTCCAAGCCATTATCCATTACACCACGCATACATCCAAGCTTACAGCACCTGGTATTCCCAAGCAGTTAACCATCTAGGTACTGATCAGACTTAACATTGCTTAACTTCAGTGATCATACAGGAACTAGTGTTTTAATGTGATGTGGCCATAAGCCAAACAAAGAGTAAAATAACAACCATAATTATAATAAACTTGTAATAAATACCACCAACTTATCATCCATATAAATTAAGATTATCCAATTTTATCATGAGTTGCTCTGAGAATAAATACAATGATATTAAAAACAGCAATGATGAGAAATAATATTAATCAATATTAAAAGAGAACATTCAAAGACTATTTTTGTGCAAAAAGGAACATTAAAAGAAAAAAGAAAAAAAGACAATGGAAACTGTTCAAAGAATTAGGTTCCATAATGCAACATTCTCTTTCATTATCTCTTTTTGCATTGTTCTTTCTTTTTTTTTCTTTTTTTTTTTGTGCAACATTTTCTTTGTACTTTACACTGTAGACAAAGAATCATTTGACTGCATGAAAAGTTGGGAGAGGAATGTCTCAGAGAAGCAATTTGCTTTAATAGTTACTAATGATATCTCTGGAAGTTCAAAATAAATAAATGAATGAATTGAAACTGACTTAATTTAGCTAAGTGGATAATATTATTTCTGGTACTGAAGGGGAAGCATACAATACACGATGGATCAATGATCTATCCATTAAGTAACTGGGTATATAATTGATTTTTTTTAAAAATTTGGCTCAATTTTGAAACAACTCAAGATACATGTCTTTATAGTCATTTTTATTTTTTGCAGCAACTGAAATAAAGTAAATGAGAATCAAAATTTTTATTAATTTTGATCTCTAGTCTTTCATACACCACCATTGAAATGAACAGGATAAAATTTTCTCATTTGAAAACAATAATATTTTTTTTTCGTCATTGTTTTCTGTCTGAAAGTAAAACTTGATATTATCCTTTCTAGTGTTGACACTGGATTTCATTTCTACAAATTTATAAGGCGACAAATCTGTCAAAAAAATATTTACAACCAGATTGGATTTTAAATTTATAGTTTTTGATTTTTGCTTCAGATGAAATGAAAAATTATTTTTTATTTATGGAGTCCCCACTGTTTCTTTCTTACATTTGAATCTCTACTAAAGAAATTGATTTAGAAAAGAAACGATCCAAAAGGACAGGAAATGTTTAGTGTGGTGGGAGGGAAATATTTTTTTTTTGTTTTTTCATAGTGTGTGATGCTTACTGCCAGATGGCTTGTGTCCTCTTTAGGAATTGTCTGTTTGTGTGTGCGTGTGTGGGGGGTTTATATAACTGATTAGCACATTGGACACTATTAACCTATTTTAATATCAGCAGCTGAGCTGACTAATAGACATGTCTTGTATATATGGAATAACTATATATACTAAACATTGAATGCAGGTAAGTATTATGGGGTCTTACCCATAATAATAATAATGGACTATTCCATACTTAATAAATACTGCGCCTCAGGAGTATTCAAGTCAAGTCAGAGGCAGTCCGAAACAGCATCGTGTTCAGACAATTACTGCAAGACATTGGAATAGTGATACTGGTCGAGACTACATTTTTCTCTCTACTAAACCTGATTGTTCATACTAACACTTCTACTTCTCTGTATATATTCCTGTTTGTAATATATCTGTGTTATCCCATACCTGTGTTTGAGTTCTTCTTTATTGGTTCTACCTTGGACTATCACCGTGGTACAAGGAACCGGACCATAACAGTAAGTTATTGTATTTTTGGTATTGCAGTTGGTGTGATGCATTTTTGTTGGTGTTGACAATTGCAAGAAAAATTTATTAAGGGTAGTTATTAATATATATATGTATTAATGACTCCAGGAGAGCATCACACTGCACCTTTATGACTTCACGTTTTCAACAAACTTGAAGTAAAACAACTACAGAGAATCAAAAGCTGCATCTACTGCAAAGAAAGTTAGTTCACGGCGTCGTGCAAAAAGGTTTTTCTTGTCAGAATCTATCTTGCACATTTACAAATCTACCATTTGGTTGTGCATTGAATACTGTTGCCATATCTAGTCTGGTGATCCTGCTATTCATCTAAAGGTTCTTGACAAAATCCAAACAAGGATCTGCAATGTAATCAATCCTGACTTGGCATCTTGATTTCAGTCACTACCGCACAGAAGTGGTGTGTGTGTGTGTATGTATATCAAGGAAAAAACTTAACACTTCCTCGAAGAATTCAGTAATAAATTTATTTCAACAGATAAATTTATATCTGCCTCATCAGAATTGTTTATTTAAATATTGTTGCCTAAAATATTAGAATTATTTACAATTTATATCTTTCAAATTCTTAAGTTCAAAAGGCAAAGAATTAAAAATAAAAATAAACTTATACAATTACAGGTACATTAACAGAAGATTCAGCCACCATAAAAGGATACTTGACAATTTACACAGATTGGTACAATAAGTTATCGACCAACTTCAGTAACAAAGAAATATTCAACAATAATTCAGCTAGATATAGCAAAGTGCTAGAATGCAGCAACCATAATGTGAAATTGGATTATGTAGAAAGTAATATCAACAAAGATAAAAATAAGCTAAAATAATGCAAAGGTAACATGATATACCACAGCAATGTCAAAATAAATGGAGGCAGAATTTTCCTGAATTTAATTCCCAAACATGTTGGTCATTCTAACAGTAAAAAAGATTTTCAGCAAAAATAATATCAAGGTAAGTTATGGCTGCATAAAAATCATAGATAATTATCTATCCCAACATGATGATAATGTATTAAGCAAGCATCCAAAGAAAACACTAAATAATATTCCTGCTAAAAATCAATGCAATTGCCCTAAAAAATAATCTTCCCATTAAAATTATTTAAACAGCAAGTGCATGATTGAAAATATAATCTACAAAGCTAGGGTCAATTCAAACAATGATGTTAAATATTACTTTGAATCCACAGAGAACAGCTGGAAATCATGCTTTTACCACCACAAAATGACACTGAGCAATATCAAATACAAAAACGGCGCAACATTTTCAAAGAAGGTTTGGTGATTAAAAACATCCATAAGAACCCAACCATTATCTGGGAGATAATCACAAAAGCTAAGCCATACAATGGAAAAGGAGACAGGTGTAACTTGTGTTTGTTGGAGAAGCTTATTATATTAAAACATTTAAATAATCTTAACTTGCTGAATTGATGTTTACATGTATCCAGAAGAGACTATATATATATATATATATATATATATATATACACACACACACAGGGTTATTTGAAAAGAATAAACAGATTTCATTACACAATATTTTAATAAGAAAAAGCAAAAGAAAACTCTAGCCAAGTCACAACTATTTTATTCACAATCAACTTTTATTTCCTGTCTTACAAGTGTTCAATGTGGCCACCACCTGCAGCACAGGTAACATCAATGAGTTGATTGCTGTTGTTATTCAGTGTTTAAGGTCATCAAGGTTAGTGGGCCATGGTGGAACATAAACAATCTTTTATGTATCCCCACAAGAAAAAAAAAATGTTATGGGGATCTTGCAGGCCAAATACAAAGAGCAAGGCATAATCTGTGAGGTTTCAAATGTATACATTTTCTTAGCACGCAACAGATAGTGGATTGAGAGATTGCAAGCTTATGGTTAGCTCGATTTGTGAACTTCCATGGACTTCCCTCAAACGCAGCACAGATTCTTGTTACTTGTTCCTCCAAAATTCATGGTTGTCTTGGACTTTTTCCTTTATGCACACACCCACCAATTAAAACTGTTTAAACCACCATTGAATGTTCTTTGGAGAGGATGGATTAATGTTGAATTGCCTTTGAAAAGCACGCTGCACTGTGACAACAGTACTTGTTTTCAGGCTCAAAAACTCCTTTTGCTGAGGACTCACCATTCCAGGGATAAAACCAACTGAATGTTGCCAGATATGACATAACAGCACCCCTGTGGCAGCCATTCAAAACTTAGAAATCTCCTCTTTCAAATGGTCACTAACTCATTGCATGATGATGCTTAAAAACTGAAGCAATGTGTCATGAAATCAGTTCAATCTTTTCGAATAAATCTGTGTGTGTGTGTGTGTATATATATATATATATATATATAGTAGTGTCCAAAATTAAGGAACAAAACAATGTTTTGATAAAAATTAATTTCAAAATTTAGTGAATTCTGAGAATGTCAATGTACAGTAGTGATTCAAAACAAGGGTCATAGCTGTAAATATTGATAAGACTTTTGCATTTTGTTGTCCAAATAACTTTTATTAAAACATTGTTTTGTTCCTTAATTTTGGACACTTGATATTAGAGTAAAAAATTAAATGAATCATAGCTCTTTCAATATAATCCCAAATGACTTACCCGTCCTGGGTAAGACAATAAACTACATCCCACAGCAAGGCCTCTGATCAGGAGGTTTTGAGGAAGCATGGAACCACCTCTTAATTGCTGATGTTCTCAGGTCCACCCTGACCTGGGGTAGTAGCACCTGTTAGGGTCCCATCTATGGACAAATAGCAAACTCCCAGTTTTTCCCAGCATATATCCACATCCTGGGTATGGTGATAAACTACGTCCAAAAATAATGTTGCCAGCTATATGTTTACTAGTACTATATATTTAATATATATATATGTATATTATATATATAACTACATTTGGCATTAAATGACCTACAGTGGTTGATATGTCATAAAACCCAACCAACCAACCAAATGACTTAGATTTAAAGCAGAACTGAATTGCCATTTGTGTACATGGGAAAATTTCAGAAAAATTATAGTTTTTGAGATATCAAAGTTTTAATTTTTGTTCCTTAATTTTGGAAGCTACAATATATATATATATATATATATATATATATATACACTTATGTACATTCACACACAATAGTAACAATAATAATAATGATAACATTCATATTCCTGATAATGATGAAGGTGTATGACTACTTTTATATATTTATTGTAAATAGAGTGCAGAATCAATTTTCCAGCAAGTGATAGTTTGTTTCCTTTTTTAGTAGAAACAAAATTAAAACCAAAGATTTGAATTTCATATATCTGTCAGACTAATTCAACAAGCGA